CATCAGCGGGAGGTCAGATACTGTCATCACTCTGCCCAACAGTGACATTTTTTAGTTAGAATAAATGTGCCCCATCTGCCCTGTGCAAATCTGATCAGCATACTGAAGAGATGCCATTACTGTTGGATTTAAACCAGTTTTTTTTTTTTTTTTTTCTTTGAAGAGGGAATTTGATGAGAATGAGGTGAGAAGCTTTAAGTTATGTCAAGGAAGAAATTCATTTAAAAAAATCTGGGAAATCTTTGAGGTTTTATGTTGGACTGGGCCATGCATTACAAGTAATGTGAGTTTTGTAATCATATTACCTTTTAAGTAACTAGTAAAGTATCTGAGTAACTTTTGCAAATAAGTAGCACCAGTTACTTTGCTTTCTTTGTTGTGTGCACTGTGTAAACATGATGCTTACTGTAGTTCTAGACTAAATGTGAAAACACATTGACTCATCTCACTTGCACAAAAACAGAATCAGTAGTCCTCAAAATGAGTAAAAACAGTGAAATGCATCCTATTCTTCATGCAATTCAGTTTATTTGAGCTGCGCCCTCTAATGTACAGACGTGAATTTACATTTCCTTCAACCAGAGGATTAAAAACCAGGGCTTTTACATTTTGCCAAAAATGTAACTTTTTTATATTAAAATCAAACAAGCAAGCCCGGGCCGTAACACACATTTTCCATAAAAAGTAATGCAATTAGTTTCTTTTACAATAGTGTAATGTATAACTTTTAAAAGTAACTTTCCCCAACACTGCTAATGACTACACTGTTCTAAGTGAAAGATTACTAGAGTAAGTTTTACAAAAAAATAAAATTTCAGTCGTTCAAAATTTAATTTTATGTTACATGTGAAAAAAAAGTTTTTTTCAGTGATGCTTTGTAAAATATTGTTTTACACCTTATATTTAATATTTATTTAACAACAGAAAATATACATTATTGTCACCAGTTTATATATTTGTAACTGAAATGATTTTGTTATTTGACTGAATCAGAATGGGCACACTTATAGCTTTAGCATGAGGTGATGCATTTTACATGTACAAAAACATATATTTTCTTTTTATTCAGAAAATATACATTATTTAATAAAGTATTGTATCTTGACATCAGCACTGAACTGAATCTTGACATAAGTGTATAAATACAATATAAATCTGTTTTTCTGATTGTCATATTACATGAGAATCAAGTCACAGATTCAATATTCAGTCAGCTGAAATACTGACATCATTATTTTCATGGCCATACAGTATAATAAATACTCTTTGAATTTAAACATTAGACCTCTAGTGAAATGTGCTTAGACACAATAAAAACAACTGTTCCTCCTCAAGCAGTATTTTTCAGTAGTAGGACACATTTATGGACGTTCATGAGGTCGCTAGAGAAAAGATGTGTATATAATAACCATATCTTTGATGGAAACGGCGTAACCTTCAAGTACTGCAGCCTTTGGCCATGTTCCCATATTACAGCACAATAGAGCTACAATTGCCCCCTTAAATATGCCTTTTTGTTTTACAGCAGCCATTTGTAGCACTGCATGAAATCATTTTAACAATATTGCAGTTAAATAGTACTATAGATGAGGATTTGAAACAGAAGCTCATTGGGATGATGTTAAGGTCTATGGAAGCTGGCTGTGCTGTTGTTATTTGAAATGCATGAACATTTCTGATAAAGTATACAGTACTCGATTGCAATGGTTCCCAACCCTGGTCCTGGAGGCACCCCAACACTGCACATTTTGCATGTCTCCTTTCTCTGACACCAATTTCAGGTCTTGGAGTCTCTACTAATGAGCCGATGACCTGAATCAGGTGTGTTTGATTAAGGAGACATGCAAAACGTGCAGTGCTGGGGTGCCTCTAGGACCAGGGTTGAGAACCACTGCTCTATTGCACTGTTCTAAAATCCAGGTTTCTTTTCCAACCTACTAGTAATTTCAGTTTACATAAAAAATAAATAAAAACAAAAGATTAATGCAAAGATTTTTGCATTAAGTTTCATATTATGATCTTTCTTTCTCATTGTTGATAGTCTTAGTTAAATACATGTAAATAATGAAGTCTTTCTCAATGTAAATGTTTTATAGGTACTATTTATGTGTCTCACCTAAAAAGACATTACAACCATCACATAAACTTCTAATGGTTTCCACTACAAATACCATTACAAACCATCAACTTTTAACCATTAAAACCATTAAAAATTGTGTTCTGTAGTGTGTTTTGGGACATATTCCATTAGGATTCATTGGTTTTAACAAGCCACCAATAGAAGGCAACCAATTACCAGTAGAGACCAACAGGATCCATTACCGTTTCCATTAAAACCAATACAAGTTCCGTTATAACCAGTAAAACCATTACAAATTTTCTAATGGTGTCTATTGTTTTTTTTTCAGCAGGGATGGAAAATTATAACAGATTTAACAAAATATGTATTTAAAAAGTGCATTCTGTAGCACGGCAGTGGCATCTCCAAGGTTATGGGTTCCATTCCCAGGGAATAAATAGGAGAAATCAGTCTAAGTCAGTTTGGATGAAAGGAATAGCACTAGCTCAAACATGGTACTAAGCAATGCTGAGGTCATGGGTTTGATTCCCAGGGAATGCATGAACTGATGAAATGTTGAATGCAATGTAAGTTGCTTTGGATAAAGTCCTCCGCCAAATGCATGAATGTAAATGTTAAATAAAAGTGTGTCAAAATGCATTTACATAAAAATTCTGTGTGAAGCTTCCCAGTGGACCTGATCATTGCCAAGACCTTTGCAGGTTTGATCGCAGGTAAGTGTGTCCATAAAAAAGGCACTGTATGTCTGAGTGCTTTAATTTGTATCGGTTGACATTCTAGGCTGCTGCGGACCTCCAGGCTGACTGAGACTGGCACCTGCGGGTCACACCTGGAGATTACATTCTGCCTGAAAGGACTGATAAATGTCACAGCACCTCTCATTCGCCATCTCTGCCGCTCAGACTCTCACATGACCCACGTCCAATCAATATGGTGCTCTTCTCTTTCCCACCACAACCTCAGAGGAATCCCCCTCTGTCAAAGCTTCCATAGACACTATAAAACAACCTACAATGTGAAAAAATGAAGATTTGAGTACATTTTGTAAAAAAAAAATTTTTTCCCAATATTTCATGCTTAATTCTTTATTTATACATACTGTGAGCAATTTGAGTACCTTTTTTTTTAGTGTGGGGTTGGACTTGACCACTAGATTGATCTTATTTTGTCAAAATGGATTGTGTGGGTTCTGCATTCATGGATTAATTAGTTGCAGAATTACATCATTAGTAAGTGACTCTATACAGATTTGTCACCGTGAATAAATCTTTTATTTCTGTTCCATGCTCTTTTATCAATGAATTTAACAAAGTTGTTATATTTTCTTGTGTGGCAGTAAGTGGTCAGGAGTTTGAATATTACCAATAATAAGAAATCCTATAGTCGACTATGCCAACCAGAATACACCAGGACATAACAGCCCCAAGCAAAGGGACACAGGTTCATTGCCAAACGCAGGGTGAGCATAAGGATAGGTACATTTTGTAAAAATTTTTTTTTTCCCAATATTTCATGCTTAATTCTTTATTTATACATACTGTGAGCAATTTGAGTACCTTTTTTTTTTAGTGTGGGGTTGGACTTGACCACTAGATTGATCTTATTTTGTCAAAATGGATTGTGTGGGTTCTGCATTCATGGATTAATTAGTTGCAGAATTACATCATTAGTAAGTGACTCTATACAGATTTGTCACCGTGAATAAATCTTTTATTTCTGTTCCATGCTCTTTTAATCAATGAATTTAACAAAGTTGTTATATTTTCTTGTGTGGCAGTAAGTGGTCAGGAGTTTGAATATTACCAATAATAAGAAATCCTATAGTCGACTATGCCAACCAGAATACACCAGGACATAACAGCCCCAAGCAAAGGGACACAGGTTCGTTGCCAAACGCAGGGTGAGCATAAGGATAGACAGAAACAAATCACTTTATTAACATACAATTAATAAAAACACATCACAAGGTCTCAATACGTCACACATCTTTACCAGTATCTTACAAAACAAGTACAATAAGATAAAATAAAGAGGGAGGTGGCCAGCAAAGACCCTCAGATTTCTACCCCACACTCAATACCCATGACACACACACACACACACACACACTCATGAAAAATCTAAAATATTGAACACTGCACTCCATGTGGACACGCAGTACAAGGTACCATGGCCAAACCCTCCCACCTAAATCCACGCACCAAACAATATAACAAACTGACCCAGATGAATTCCAGACAGAATTATAACAGAACAGAACGGGGCAGAGCAGAAGCGCAGTCAGTTACTTGAGGTTCGTTAGGCTTCAATTAAGATCATTGGAAACCCCTGGACGTGCAATCAATCCTGCTGGACATTGAACAAAAGTTACGCATAAAAACTTGTTTAAAACCAACTTTAAACTACCCATACCTACCAAGAAAACAGTACAACGCTGCAATACACATGGTCGCTCACCACACAGGATTACAGCTACTTGCAGGCCCAGATCTAAAAACAAACAAGGTAATAAGCCTCTCTATTTAACAGGCAAAAAGGCATTTTTTAAAACAGGGACAACCCTGAAAACTGGCCAACAGACAGGAGGATAACCCAACTGCTAGCACTCATTCAAAGCACCACATGTCACAAAGGGGCAGTACCAAGGATGATGCATCTCAAGCAACCAAACACTTCCCCCTTTTATATGCACAACACAGGCCCTAATTGGCTCATGAAACTTTCACAACTGACCAATCATGATAAAGTTCAAACACTGATAGGTTCACCTGTTTTGGTAACGCCAGCCAATCATACTGGGTCAATACCTCACTCTGCTACACTTGCAATAAATGGATAGAATTCAGAAAGCAGAGCATGCTATCAACACCAAGGCAAGATAATGGGTGCAATTTCCAGGGAATCTGAAAAAATGTTTAGCTTAAATGCAATATAAGTTGCTTTGGATGAAAGCGTCTGCCAAATGTTATATGTATAGATGTATATATCAATCCCAGTATGCAAACAAATGTAACTGATAGCAAGCATGTGAAAAAATGAAGATTTGAGTACATTTTGAAAAAATTTTTTTTTTCCCAATATTTCATGCTTAATTCTTTATTTATACATACTGTGAGCAATTTGAGTACCTTTTTTTTTTAGGGGGGGGTTGGACTTGACCCCTAGATTGATCTTATTTTGTCAAAATGGATTGTGTGGGTTCTGCATTCATGGATTAATTAGTTGCAGAATTACATCATTAGTAAGTGACTCTATACAGATTTGTCACCGTGAATAAATCTTTTATTTCTGTTCCATGCTCTTTTAATCAATGAATTTAACAAAGTTGTTATATTTTCTTGTGTGGCAGTAAGTGGTCAGGAGTTTGAATATTACCAATAATAAGAAATCCTATAGTCGACTATGCCAACCAGAATACACCAGGACATAACAGCCCCAAGCAAAGGGACACAGGTTCATTGCCAAACGCAGGGTGAGCATAAGGATAGACAGAAACAAATCACTTTATTAACATACAATTAATAAAAACACATCACAAGGTCTCAATACGTCACACATCTTTACCAGTATCTTACAAAACAAGTACAATAAGATAAAATAAAGAGGGAGGTGGCCAGCAAAGACCCTCAGATTTCTACCCCACACTCAATACCCATGACACACACACACACACACACACACTCATGAAAAATCTAAAATATTGAACACTGCACTCCATGTGGACACGCAGTACAAGGTACCATGGCCAAACCCTCCCACCTAAATCCACGCACCAAACAATATAACAAACTGACCCAGATGAATTCCAGACAGAATTATAACAGAACAGAACGGGGCAGAGCAGAAGCGCAGTCAGTTACTTGAGGTTCGTTAGGCTTCAATTAAGATCATTGGAAACCCCTGGACGTGCAATCAATCCTGCTGGACATTGAACAAAAGTTACGCATAAAAACTTGTTTAAAACCAACTTTAAACTACCCATACCTACCAAGAAAACAGTACAACGCTGCAATACACATGGTCGCTCACCACACAGGATTACAGCTACTTGCAGGCCCAGATCTAAAAACAAACAAGGTAATAAGCCTCTCTATTTAACAGGCAAAAAGGCATTTTTTAAAACAGGGACAACCCTGAAAACTGGCCAACAGACAGGAGGATAACCCAACTGCTAGCACTCATTCAAAGCACCACATGTCACAAAGGGGCAGTACCAAGGATGATGCATCTCAAGCAACCAAACACTTCCCCCTTTTATATGCACAACACAGGCCCTAATTGGCTCATGAAACTTTCACAACTGACCAATCATGATAAAGTTCAAACACTGATAGGTTCACCTGTTTTGGTAACGCCAGCCAATCATACTGGGTCAATACCTCACTCTGCTACACTTGCAATAAATGGATAGAATTCAGAAAGCAGAGCATGCTATCAACACCAAGGCAAGATAATGGGTGCAATTTCCAGGGAATCTGAAAAAATGTTTAGCTTAAATGCAATATAAGTTGCTTTGGATGAAAGCGTCTGCCAAATGTTATATGTATAGATGTATATATCAATCCCAGTATGCAAACAAATGTAACTGATAGCAAGCAAACAGACAATAGAAGGTAGAGCACATTCTATGTGATTCACAATTCAACTGTACATTGCTTTAGAAAACATTTACTCATTTTGAGCTGTGAAATACAGCAAAAGTATACCTTTGAAAAGTTACCATTCACAGATTCTGTGAATTAAATAGCTAGTCAGATCTCCCTTATGTTTTCAAACACCTCTTTCTTTCTCTTGTATTGTGGAGCGCACACACACACACACACACACACACACACACATACACATACACACAAACGGGGAATCTACCGCAGATGTCGCTGCGCTGACCTGAACAGACCAGCATGTGAAAGTTTAAGAACACACTGTTTCTTACTCTGATAACATTCATCGACTATTCATATCAGCAAGACTTGACTGAAGACTGAATCATGGTGCTATATTTGCAGTGACCTTTAACTCCAACAATCTCACAGCACTGACTTAAAGATGCTTTAAGTCAGTGCTGTTCCAAAATGAATGACACACACACACACACACACACACACACACACACACACACACACACACACAACTACTACTCCAGAACTTTGTGGTTGGTAAGATTTTTCTATTGTTGAAAGAAGTCTCTTCTGTTTACCAAGGCTTCATTCATTTTATGAAAAATACAGTAAAAACAGTAATATTGGGAAATATTATTACAATTTAAAATAATATATTTGAATGTATTGTAAAACGTCATTTATCCCTGTGATGCAATGCTGAATTTTCTGCACCATTACTCTAGTCTTCGGTGTCCTTCAGTAATCATTCTGATATGCTGATTTGCTGCTCAGGAAACATTTCTCATTATTATCAATGTTATAAACAGTTGTATTGCTTACTATTTTTTGTTACATTTTTTTAAGGATTCTTTCATGAATAGAAAATTCTAAAGTTTCAAAATGTTCAAAATGCTTGCCGATTTAAAAAAAATAATTCCTTTTGCAAGACAAAAATATTTTTGAGACTTCAGACTTTTGAAAAGTAGTGTATATACATCATTGCCTTAATTTATTATAGCATGTTACATGCTGGTCTGTTTTGGCCAGAGAGAGGTCACTCTCTCGTTGGTTGATTGCTGTAGTCTCCGCCCACGCCTCGTCCGCCAGTGAGAAATACTCATGATCAGAGCTGCTCTGGTCTGATGTTCCTGTCTGTGGTAGGTCGGTGTGGGTTTGTTTGACTCTGTGGTGTTCAAGGCAGAGCAGTGGCTGCATAACGTTAAAGTCATTCTTTCTCTCAAATCTGTATTTCCTCTCTGCAGTATATGGAAATATCATTCTTCCTCGTTTGATCTCCCACCTCGTCTGTGGGTTTTGTATTTCTTGAGTTCGGGCTCCTCAGTGGGTATTGTGTTTCCACAGAAACTTTTATTAATTTAAAAATCACTTTTTGAGTTTTGTTTTGTTACTCTTTCTCTTTAGAGTCTTTCTAGCTTATTTGCCCACCTTGTTTAATCTACTGGAACGAACAAAGAGCAAGTTGCAACAAACATTAAAACTGTTTCATGGTGTTCTGTGTGACTTTAAAGACTGAAATAGGAGAAAAAAACACACAATCTCATTTATTCGTGAGTGATGGTGAAATGAGGCACCTTTTTAACAGCAAATATATTTATAAGACTACAACAAATGCTGCATAGTAGCAGCAAAAATATATTTAGTTCACGCATTCGTGTCTAATATTTGAACAATATCCAATTATTCAGTAATAGGAAAAGAAAATGATTATTTTTGTAAAATCTGTATATAAGGAAAATTTCAGTAAGTTTAAATTGGAGATCAGTAACGTCGAAGACATGAAGCCTGAGCTGTAATGAATAGAATTATAGTTCATTAAGTAAATGGTCTACATAAATATCAAATAATAATTTATTACATGTCAAAAAAGTTATAGACTCTTATTTATACATCACATAAAATGAATTGGTAAATACTTAAAATGGATTAATTTGCTAATAGTGCGTGGAGCATTGGCCCGTGATAAATGACATAATCTGACATATGTAAAAAGTGTCTTTCTCCATTGGCAGCCATTCAAATAATTCAAATACAACACTTTTGCAAGCAATTCCACATGCAAATATCTTATTTCTGTGGTCTAAATATGATTAGGTAAGATGGCGCATGAAGCGCGCTTTAATTATTAGCCTATGTTTTTTCTCTTGACCGTAGACGGCACAAAATCTCATCACAATACATTTTATAAATGGCTATGCAATTTATTAACTTAATTTTGTCATTTAATTTGAATATCAACATTTTTGATGCTATTTGGGTCTCTGCACAGTGAAAAGATAAGTGAAAAGATGAAATTAGAAGGCCATGGCATGTTGTTACTATTTTCTATTAATTTTAAATCGAATACTTATTGTAATTTATTGGGTTATTATTCAATGGATTTAGATGTACATTTCAGACTATCTTAGTAGTCTTAGTCCTATCTTAGTTTCACACACTTGTTACAAAATCTCCTGCAGCAACTTCTTGAGGACTATAAGAACTCTCAAGAAAACTTTAGCTTTTGTTCTCTATGTTTGATGAATGACTCTGTGACTTGACACTGTAATGAGCAGTGCACTGGAGTGTGTATGTGTGCGCGCTGCATACTGTGAGTGTGTCATACTGTGTTGTAGTGCAATATTGGATTTCTTGCTGCAGTCTTGTTCATTTCTTCAGGTGTTCGGCTGACTCCTGCCTTGTGTTCCCTCAGGACACAAACACACACACACACACACATTCACACTCGTGTATGTTGAGTGAAAGCCGCCAGTGTCCAACACAGTTAAACAGCACGTCTAATGAGGCGTGAAAAGCAATTGAGACAGAGCTGTGCTTTAAATCCGCTCTGACTCATATCAGTGCTCTCAGGCGCACAGCCGATGCTGCATACACTGCATTTCACAGCATTTAATTTAACATTTAAAAGAAAAACAATCTTGGCA